AGGGAAAATGAAATCATAAATTTTCTATCCAACCTGTTATCATTCTGACTTTGAATTACCTTTTAGGCTCAATTTTATAAACTATTAAATGCTAAATTAAATTAAATAATGCTTCACTATATAAAACATGTTGTAGCATGTATAATGCATAAAGTTATAAAATAATAAAATGCAGATAGTGATGGTAAACAAATTTATTAAATATTAATATTTTTTACTAAAAATTATCTCAAACAATTGTTGGCCACTGGTCAATAAAAAAACAACTGCTTATTATAATTTCAAAATTTTGCAAATCAAAACTTGTTTAGATAGAAACCGAATATCTTTGCGAGTACTTGGCATCATCTGCTAGATCTTGCTTTGAGTTACTTTTTTAGAGACGGCTATCCATTTTTATTTGCAGCTATTTTCTTACTTTTCAATAAGATTCCTTTTATAATTGATCAATAACTTTTAATAACTCAGGACAATTTAGAGGACTTGCTTCCTTAGAAACAAATTTGACACCATTTTGTTCATACCATTCTAGAGACTTCTTAGAGTAGTGAATTGTAGCTGAATCAGGCTAAAATATTGTGGGCATTTCATGCTTTTTAATAAATGGCAAAAGTCATTTCTTTAAGCATTCTTTTATATATAAATCTGCGTTCAAAGTTTTATGAGTAATGTATGGTGTTACTTTTTAAATATCTACCTTTTGACTGATAAAAATATTGCTGCCCTGGCAATTGTGAAAAACCTTTTTGCAATAGGTTTAATCGCCTTTAATTATGCACAAAATTTCTTGCTTTAAAAAATTGTAGAGCTTTTTTAATTTGAACAACAAATTGCTTTAACTTCTCAATCAATGGATCTCTTTGAAGTTTTTTTTTAATGATATGCTTTATATTCTTGAGATCTAAGTACTTTTCCTATCAAAGTTTTCCTATCAAAGTTTGGCTATATTTAAATTTTCTCACAGGATTTCTCTGTAAATGACATGGATTTGCCTTTATGGAGCAAATCTTTTTTTTGGTTAAATATTTGTTTACTCATTTTAATCTGATAGCAATGATAACCAATACTTATTACCATTACAATCAAACAATAACACATTAGCTTCTGTGTGCAAAAAAATTAAAAAAATTTGTCAAGTAGTTTTTGAGTAATTAACGATAAAAAGGTGCTGAATTTCATTGTGTTCAACTGATAAAGGAATAACTTGATAAGAGAAGGGTGTTTTAATAAACAGGTAAGTGAGAATTTTTATTTTTATTTCTATAAGTGAAATTATATTTTCTAATATTTTATACTTGAACCACTCTCAAAGATTAAAAAATAATAAATGAAAACTTTTTATTTAATTATGAGATACAGTTTCTTTGTTTATAACAAGTAAAATTTGATAAACAGAAGAAGGGGGGTCTTAATAAGCTCATGGTGAGTGGAAAATTTTCAAAAATTGATAAACATCAACTTCTGTGTATTAAGCACTTAAGTGTACCATCTTTTTTTTTCAGTTGATTTTTCATAATTTCTGTTTTATAAGTAACAAATTAAGGTAAATTTATTTTTTTTACTTTTTAAGAAAAGACTATTTTCTAATTCCTTGTAACAACTTTAACTAGAAGAATGTGGAAACTAGAATTATGCGGTAGTGGTGTAGTGGTAAGAGCGCTCGCTTTGTAAGCGAGCGGTTCGAAGTTTGACTCCCACCACATCCCTGAAAGTACCACGCTCAACTTAATTTCTCCGCACAGCGGTCTTGCTTGTCAAGGTTTGTGTTTCGGAGTTAAAGAGTTGAGAGAGGGTTGTACCACGATTTACAAAAAAAAAAAAAAAAAAAAAATGAGTAGCCTCCTTGACTGTAGCGGCCCCTCAAGCCTTGGGGAGGTGAATAATTTAAAAAAAAAAAAAAAAAAAACTAAACTAATCAGGATGACATTTTAAAAAATTCGAGCAACATCAGCAATTATTGTAATTAAACTCACCCTAATAAAATTGCTATACAATTTAGTTTATTTTAAAAAAATTTTAAAATAATTATAATTACAGATGTTGTGTTTATTTTTAAATATCTTAAATTGTTTTATTGGATTCCTTGCCTTGAAATATGTAAGTGCATATTTTTTCAGCTTTCCATTGCACACAGAACAGAAACAGACTAAAACAATTTTTCAAAATGGCAGATTTTTGTTAGTACATGGCAAAATTTATATAGTTATATTTTTGAAACTGTTTGGAATTAAATTATGAAATTTTGAGGATGTTCATAACTTATTAAAATCTTTGATTGGTGTTAAAACCAGCAAAATCTGAGGGAATTAAGGTTGCATTTTATAAAAAAATTGGATGTTTTCACATGGAATTGCCAATAAAACAAATTGAAAAAGAAGAAACAAGTTTATGGCAAAAGAAGTTTCCCTTTAAGAAGTTTAAAAGAAGTTTATGGCAAAAAAAATTCCCTAGTTAGAAGTGAAGATGTTAGATGATAAAAGAAATAGTTATTAGCATCTTTATCAATTTGTAAAACCCATTCACTTCAATAAAAATTTCAAAAAGGAAAAAAAATAAAATAAGGAGAAATTAAGGAGAAATGACAAATTTCCAACTTTTTTAAGGTTATTTAAGGATTTTTAAGGAGGTTTTTATTTTTTAAGGATTTTTAAGGTTTTTAAGAAGGAGTGGGAACCCTGTATATATATATATATATATATATATATATATATATATATATATATATTATATATATATATATATATATATATATATATATATATATATATATATATATATATATATATATATATATATATATATATATATATATATATATATATATATATATATATGAAATTAATTTTCCACATTAATCAATTCAAGTTGTACAGGCAAAATTGGATCAAGTGCTGAGGATGTACATTAAATGTGTAAAACAAAGAAAATAGGATAAATTAAATGATGTTTTTGACACCACAAAAAAATTTGGTGAATGGCTCTGCAGTAAGGACAAAAGATCATCTTCAGATTGAAAGCTAAGGACAGGTTGGATATACTACTGGGAAGGCTGGTAGCTATAAAACTATCCATCCATCCAAAAGAAGAAAATGTCCTTTAAGTCTACTTCAATAACAGTAATGGCAACAGCAACAGCATTAACTTGCGAATTCAAGTCTGAGGCAGAATATCAAGAGTCTGAAGATTCAGAAAAAGTCCTTGAGTATAGCAAGAACCACACCAAAACTGTAATCAAATTACTAACATTTTTAAAGTTATCAACCAGCAAAGAAGCAACCATTTGTCAACAGCTATCTCAATATGGGATTGACATTCAGACACCTTCACAATCTGGTATATTCACATCAACTATTAAAGAAACTTTTTTACTTAAAAAAGAAATAAAGAAAACACTACATTCAGAAAGCTTTTCATTGCACTTTGATAGTAAACATATTATTCACCAAGAATATCAAATGTTAGTGTTGAAAATAAACAGAAATAAGATAAAGATAAATTAAGATACAAGCACTTGATCTAACAGACAAAAAAGCAGATACTGTTGTTAAAGTTATAACAACTATTTTCAATGAAGACAATTTATGGAAGAGTATAAAGATGATTTTAGCAGATACTAGGATTGTAAACACTGGAAGAAGAAATGTAATTTTCAATCAATTTATGAAGACTTAAAAGAAACTGGATGCATTGGTTGTCAGCATCAACCGAGTCTTTTGCATAATAATGGAAGAACTCGGAAAAAACAACATTTTGCCCAAAATCAAATATCCATTTATTTCGGAACTTGTAAAGAACTATAAACTGCTCAGGAAAAGTATAAAGAATAATAAAGAAGTGATTAATGAAACAGCAGGATTGCATAATGATATAAAATTTTAAAATTTAACTTGAGTAATTTATAAAATTTAACTTGAGTATTTCGCATTTTTGAAGAACCTGGAGTATTTCCTAAAGTAAAGTTTCTGAAAAAGCTAAATTAATGCAAGAGGGAATTCCTGAGATATACTAGCTCTTTTTTTACCAAAGAGAAGAGACTCACTACTCTACATTTATAAATTCATCACTTACAGATTAGGTTGTAAATTTATCTTTTACAGATTAGATTACAACAGATAGGTGGATAATTAGTCTGGCAAAATGTACAACACAGATGAAGATAAGAAGCTATGTAGCAGCTGGCAGTGTCATAAAGAAGGGCTAGTTACAATCGACAGAGCACAAGCAGATTGGCTTTTATATGGCACAACCAGTATTGCCAATTATAAAATCAGCTAAATCAGGCGGATTCGAATACATTATTTCTAACATTTGTTCTGCCAAATAATTCAGCTGAACAAATGCTAGAATTAATGTATTGTGATCTGCCAAATATGCTATGAAAAATGATGCACTATACCTGCCCTAGATATAGTACAACATTTTCTAGGCTGATAGCAAATTTAATAGATTTACCACAGGACAGCATATTAGGCCTAGCTATATACTACTATTAGTCCAGGCAAAGGTAATATTTACAAAATCACTGAATATACTAATGCAACCCAAACAAAACAGAAGATACATCTTTTGGGTCTAGGAACAAACTAAGGAACAAACTAACTAAAAAAACGATACCAAAATTATATCCTCTGAAAAAACACCAACTACAGCAAATTTTTTGAAAATCTTTTGCACCACCCTGATTCAATACTCTCTATGGACTTTTTTAACAACTCAGGTAGTTTAGAAAAGCCTTTTAGACTAGACTAAAAGTGTTATTAAATTTCAAAAACAATTAAACCATCTAACTCTAGTCAACTATAAATTTGTAAAATTGTACTTTTGTTATTTAAAATTTAACTTTTTATAAAATGCATTTGATTGGATAAATTTTTTATTTAATATAATTTTTACAATATAAACCAACAAAACAGTAAATAAAAGATATAAATTATAAAATAAAAACAATAAGAAAATCTAACAAAATCTATTTAAATAAGAAATATACAATTATATATTACCCAACCAATTAATGAGCGATTTGCAATCTTTATAATCGTGAAATAACTTGTTCTATTAAATTGTGATCGTGGTAATTCTTTGTTTTAAACTAACTTAAACATTTTGTATTATCTCTTTGCAAATTCAGCAAAATAAACTCAGTATGACAATAATTATTTTTATATCATTTAATGTGACAATATAGCAACATGTGTCTGAACTACTATAAATATATATATATATATATATATATATATATATATATATATATATATATATATATTATATATATATATATATATATATATATATATATATATATATATATATATATATATATATATATATATATATATATATATATATATATATATAACTCTAAAATCATTATTCAAATAGATTTATTTCATATAACATGTTCTTATCAAAACGCAAACAATCGCTCACTCTCGGTTTTCTTATTATTTATATTTTCTGATCATTGATATAAAAAAATTATTGTTTGAAAATAATTTTTTACGAAGACCTGCAAACTCCTAATAAAAAGAATTTAAAATATATGTTCTATTGAATCTTTTTCTATTGAGTGAAAAAAATAATAATAAAAGCGCTAATTTTTTTAGCACATCTCGTATAATAATTTAAAGATTCATTGTTTTGAAATGTCAAGCAAACAAATCAAAAAACATCTGGTATACAGTAGTTAATAGTAATTAAAAGACTTTTTTTTTCGGTTCTCAAATTTCCTTTTTACAAATTGCATTACTTTAACACTTATCCCTCCGTATTATTAATTATGCTAAATATTCAGAAGTCGCAAAATTGATTTGTCTTAGTTTCTAATTGCATAAAGCTTTTTTATTTAGATTTTAGAGCAATTAGAGTCCAGTTAAAGATTTAATCACAAAATGTATATGAGTAGCCCATTTGCTAAAAGCGGTATGTCCTACTAAATTGATTTTGAGAGAACGACAAAAAACTGAACTACTCATAGTTGCGCATCAGCAGAAATTGACACTTTCTTTTTCTATTTTTAGGACAAAAAAACTTTGAATTGGTCTAATATTAAAATAGATGATAGATTTCAGTATATAGAATGTGGAAATAGAGCTAAAGAAAATTTTTGATGGAGATGGATGGGCTTCTCATATACGGACTCATCTAACCTCAAAATCTATTTGTAGGGTAGATTAGGGTAATATGAGTACCTTGATAATATGAACATACTTAAAGATTTCTTAGATGTAAGCAGTGAAGTTATTTGAATCGACTTTATGTGGTGGTAACAGGAATCAGTACAACTAGCGTAACTTTATATGTAGTAATTATATTGAAGTAAATAGCGTAACTTCATATGCTGTAATATCCAGTAGCTATTATGTTAAATTTTTAGCGTTGTTAAAATAATATCATCACGCATGAATAAATCTGTGGAGCGAAATATCACAGCAAACATCGTTTCATTTGGATTTGCGGTAGACCTGAATGGGCATTTTTTAGATGTTCATTGGAGTTTTGCATTAGTGGCAGCCGCTATAAATGGCATGCCGATAATTTTCCAACATGTTAATAGTGGCTAGTAATTTGCTAGCTAATGTTGGCGGCTACCACTAACGGTCCTCTAAGTAACCGATGAACAAAACTACAGCGGTCCGCTTAAAACGCCTAAAATTCTGCTGATTTAATTTTGATAACTACTGTAGCCTCTAAAATTTTCGATAAACTTGTAAAGAAAAAAATCTTGAAGCACATCAAAAATAATAACACCTCTCTGCAAATTAACATGGCTTTTTTCATCATAAGTCATACGTAACTAATCTAGACAGAGACTTTTATTATTACTTCATCTTCCATAGCGTCTTACCAATTTGTTAATGTAATTAACAAACTGGTGAGACGTGAGGCAAAATTTGAGCAGCTACAGCGCACTTGCCTCAGAAGTTAGAGATCTGAGAACGGCACCTTTAGGAAAGTTTTATATTATCAGTAAAGAAGGATGCGTGAAACTTCTTTTCAATAATTCAAAATCTTGGTAGACTGAAAAAAACATATTCACTTTCATTGATGAAAATATGGCTCTCAAGTCATATAAAGTTTATTAGACCACAACTTGAATTAGCAGTGTCTATATGGGCTCCTTACTTAAAAATTGCTTTGTTTAAATTTGTTTAACGCAAAGCTATAAAACGGGCTTCCAGCTTGAGGCATATTCAATACTGCGAAAGAATACGATATGGTCTTAATCAAAACTTTAAATTAATACATCGTTTTGATATAGTTAGTATTTGATATAATTAATTCCTTGTCTCGTGGTCACCATTTTAAAATAATGCGTGAGTATTATTGACAAAAACATAATTTTTTGGCCTGTAATGGGAATCAATGAACATTTTAATACTGATTAAAAAAAATCACAGTTTTTTCATTTCATTAAAAAGGTCTCACACCAAAACAATCAAAGACATGGTGGGTGCCGTATCTTACGAAAAAATATTTCTTTCTAAAAAATTCTTAAGTTGGATCTCAAAATAAGGGAATTTTACTAGAAAGTTTAAAATAATTTACATTTTTAAACAAAAATTGAAAAAAAATTGGCGTTTTTTTACAATACTTTCTTTAAAGTTAGTTTTGAAAAAGATCGAAACCTCTATAAAATAAGACTTCATTTTGAGGTCCAACAAGATATTCATGAGAAAAAAATTTTTTTTTTTGTGAAATAAGACAACAACCATGCTATTAGACGTCTTCGTGCAGGAGTTTTTTTTCTAGAAACAGCTCTAATAACTCTTGTTATATAAATAGGTCATCATTTGCAACCATAAAAGATTTGCAAAAAATGTAAACATACGGCGAGTGTGCTTTCCATGCACATTCTATACTTACATTTTATATGTATACTTATACAGCTATATATGTATATTTATACGTATTTATATGTATACTTATACAGCTATATATGTATATTTATACGTATTTATATGTATACTTATACAGCTATATATGTATACAGCTACAACAACAACAATAATAATAATAATTATAATAGTAATAATAATAATAACAATAATAGTAGTAGTAATAATAATGATAATAATAATAAAAAGAACAAAAAAATAATAAACTTGACTATATTCCTTGACTATATATATAGACTATATTGACTACTCATTTACTTTTGTCTTTTATTTATTTTATGATGAAAATTTATTTATTTTATGATGAAATAAAAATCTAATACTATAAATTTATTTATAAACTATTGTATTTAACCTTTGTTATATCTTTATTTAATAATATTGTGTTTTATCTTTTTTTCTTATACAAATTGACGGTGATATTGTTAAGGGGAGACAATGTCTTCTTTATAAATACATAATATTTGGGTAAGTTATATTCATATGTATTAACTTATATATTAAGTTTTATATTCTTTAATTATAAAAGAGTTAAACTTATAAAAATATGTCTTGATAAAATTTTGTCAAAAGATATCTGGTTGGATAGCTCAGTTGGTTAGAGCGTCAAACAAATTGCTAAAACCTATATACTTTCAATAAATTAAAAATAAATTATACACCTTTATACTTTTAATAAATTAAAAATAAATTATACACCTTTATACTTTCAATAAATTAAAAATAAATTATACACCATTATACTTTCAATAAATTAAAAATAAATTATACACCTTTATAATTTTAATAAATTAAAAATAAATTATACACCTTTATACTTTCAATAAATTAAAAATAAATTACACACCTTTATACTTTCAATAAATTAAAAATAAATTATACACTTTTATACTTTTAATAAATCAAAAATAAATTATACACCTTTATACTTTCAATAAATTAAAAGACTTCTGTTGATACCTTTTTGTTATTCAATGGGTGAAAAAACTTCAATGGGTGGTTTTTCCTAAATGAAGATATCTTTCCATTAAAATAACTTTTGACAGAAAAAAAAACCCTGGTATTAGAATTGGTGGCTATTTAATAAATCGACTTTTCAAGAAAACCTCTCGTAGATGCTTTGGAACCATTTTACAAAATTTTATTCTATCCTTGGGAAAAAAGATGGCAGCAAAATTTACGCAAAATTTAATCTATTATTACAAGAAAGTAAAACTAAGAACAATAATAATACAAATCAAACAGAGACTATTAGTTACCTAAATGGTTTTGAAAGCTTTCTACTAGATTTTGCTGAACAAAAAGTAAACTTGAGAATGGAACACTCGAAAATCTTTATGAATGCCATAAACAACATCCATAAAAGAAAAAAAAGAGCAGATATGGAAAGTATTTACAAAGTATTGAAACATTTTGAAAATTGGCTTGAAAAATTACATGTAAGCAAGTTTCCTAATTTACTTGTATCAAAAAATCTTTTAAGTTGCTCAATAAAAAATGGCGTCGTATAAAGTACTTATAGCTCCTGAAACAAAATCAGAACCTGATCTTTGTATAATTAATCACAAAAAAATTAAAACCTTAGAATCTGAAATTAAAATTTTGAATTACAAGCTAAAAAACTTAAAAAGCAATGAAAATAGTCTTTCGATTTTTAAAAGATGAAAATTTATTTCTAAAAGAAATAAATTTTCGGAGTTAAAGTTAATAAAGTTATCAGAGTTCAGGAAATTTATTGCCGTTTTAATCGATAAGCTAGAAGTCAAATCAACCGTGACTGATTTAAAATCAACTCAAAACTTAAACTTTTTTAATGATTTTGATTTTAATAGCCCATTAAACCAATACTCAATTAATTCACCAAATGCTGAAACCATTAATGCCTTCCGGCAACAAGAATGTGGTATTAAAATAATTGATAGTACAAGTATAGAGAATAAAGACCATTTAAATAATGACTTAGCAAATGTTCGCCGTCAATTAAACATTAAATATTTAAATTTAAAAAAATATAATATTCCTGAACTAGTGGTTATCCTCAAACTCAAACAATAATAAAACAATGCGTAATTCAATAAATAATTTTGAAGATGTAACAAATCAACTCGTCTCAGTCAGAAAAAATTATCAGTCAGACTTTTTAAAGTATTAGTAAATAGTATAGTAAATTTTTCAACAAATGGTGTTGTTTCGACTTCAAGTTTCCTTAGTTCAAAAGCGGTTGAAAATGTAAAAAATACAAAAAATCAAATAAAAAAATAAACAACGACACTAAAATAAT